GATTTTTGAAGTTTTTAAAGTACATTCAGAAAATGTTCTAAATTTTTTAGACTTTTTGAAAATTTAAGATATTTAAAAGTCATCTGAAATTTTTCCGATATATACATATATAGGATATCTATCCTATTTCTACTTTCTTACGAAATATTTGATAAATGTGAATTCTCATAATCTTTTTTTGGTGAAAATGAAAAAAATTTTTGAATATTCAACGTCATATATTTTTATGATTAATTCTACAAATTAAATTTTTTTAATATAAATTTTATTTGACTTTCTGAAGTTGTTGTATCATGAAAAATTCTTCTTTCTCGTTTGTGTTTATAATTTAAAAATTATTGATGCTTGACAGTGCTAAAAAATCATACATCTCTATATATTTATATACATTTTTATCTTTTTAATTGTCTAACAACATGATTATCGTTATTTGTTGGAAATAATTGTCTAACTGTTCTGAAAAATTGACTTACGATCTCTAGCTTGAGAAATTGTCAAAGCAAATCATTTCTTTTTATAAAAAAAGAAGTTTCTAATAAATATAATATTTTTTTAAATTGCTGTTGATCATGTCGAAGAATTACGTTATCTTGAATGAGGAAGTATTGCTCGTTTTATAGTTAGTTAGTCATTAACAATGATAATTTAACGTTTTGGATAGCGTCGGTAAATAGCTTTGCATTCTTCGAGCTTAAACTCGAAATTACGCTCGTCTGCCTGCTACAAAGGCGCTCAAGGATTCCCAGGTGAACCACTCATTTCCTCGACTAATGCGAGGCAATGATTCATCAACGATCCATTTAAAAACACGGACGGCTATTCGCCACAACATTCTTTTGTCACGTGCAGGACAGTTTGAGCAATGAATCGCAATTAATTCGCGCGACAAGAGCGGTCTAATGGTAAAAACTTCACATTTTTTTCTATGATGTATCTTTTGCATTAAAAAATTTGTTAGAAATGTTTTTAACTCGATAAAATTATATTGAAGTACAAAAAAAAGAAAAACAATTCAATTTTTAAATAAATTATTAATTGTTATTACAATTTACACAATAAAAATATTATTACATCATATATCTTACATATATTTCTTTTTCAAACTAGCTTTTAGCTCTTTAGACATAACTAACATAGAAATGGATTGATTTACATTCGAATTACATAAAAATTAAAAGTAACAAAATGTTATTTAACTCAAAGGATTGGGTTACCGTTCCTCCTTTGACATCTAACAGTGTACATGCATATATTGTTTCCCCGACGTGGAGGAGGAACTTTTATTATAGTTTAGTTTATCATAGTTTAGTATTACGCGATCAATTGTTTGCTACTAATATTTATAACTTAACTCTAATACTAATTAATTATTATTGCTTGATATAAGCTACATAACGAATCTTGTTATTCAGCTCATAAGTATGCGTAAGAGTGCTATATTAAGATTACAAATCATTATAAAGTAAAATAGGATGTAAGTTTAGAATTTATAATCATACATATTCATTATTATTTATAAGAAATTTAAGATACTTTGAAACTATCTATCTACAGACACCATTCTAAACTAAAACATATAATAGCGAGTAAAATTATGCTTTTTGCACTGTCATATTTTATTCAAATACTTTCATAATCTACATATATTTTAATATTCTGTGAGAAATCGCAGAATAAAATCTGAACAATTCATTAAATAAGAATATGTTAGATAACAAACAGGTATTATTATTAATTTTTTATGCATACATTATATTAAGATATATATATATATATATATATATATATATGCATAATCAATAATTTTCTCGTAATGAGATAGCGGTATTGACCACGATCATTGTTTCATCATTATCAGCATTAAGTTTTCATGTTAATAATCATGTCTATAATTCTGTTAATAATACAATAAAATATAGCCAATTAAACCTAAATAAAATAGTAATTTGAACTTAACCTAACTGCCATTAATCATTATAACGGTTCTGCAAAATATATATACAATATAATGAAATTTCCATATATTAATATATTATATATTTTATTAATTTGCATCGGCTCAGAAAAAAATTTTATATGTACATTAAAAAGAATTAAATTTTAAATATTTGTTTGAATATTTCTAAGCAAATATTTACTAAATGTAAACATTTATTTGAAAATATCATCAATTTGTGATTTAACAATCATTTTTTATTGATATATTTTAAAATATTTATTTACTATAAGTTGATGTTTACTTAGTACTATTAAAAAATATATTGAGATTTAATAAATTCTTTTGTCAATATATTTGTCAGTTCGTTTGTTATGCAAATACACATGAGATAATCATTATAATAATTCTGACGTCAATTAAAATCTTATCAAGTCTGTACCACGGAAATGTGAATTGTTTTTTAAATACACGTTTCATTTATCACATCTTTGTGTTACATATCACAATTTTAAGATAACTGTAAATTAGTAACAATTTGTTTGATCTACTTGTCTTTTCCTATTTTACAAACGATATTATACTTGCATTTACATAATATAGCATTATCTAATACGATAGATAAGCAATAATGAGAACGGCATTTATCCGATTCAACGAAGACATGGGTAATCGGAGTATTTTTTAGTACAAAATTGATTACGTAAACGTCTTACCAGATCTCTAAGATTCCACTCGGCGTTTCCTCGGACAGACGTGATATTCCACGTGATATTGTATTTTAGATTCTGAGAAACATTATTGCTTTACGTACATGAAATTGCACTGGACGTTATATTACATACGCGTAATTCGAATAATTTCTCAACACATTTGCCTTTTGACTTGTTGTTGTATGTATAAAATACTAGTTTCCGGTATCGCTACTCTTCCGCTTTGTAATAAGCTCGATATATCAAGCGGCGAGTCGTGAAATTAGAAATAGTTTTGATTTATTTCGCACAACTTTTGTTTGTATCATTCCGAATATATTATATTGACGTATTGATTACATAATATACTAACTTATCTATGATAAAATATTAGAATGTTATCCTAGATCAGTTATAACTGGCAAGATCACATCCGTAAGCAAAATTTTGTAATTTTCGTAAAATTACATTTGATAATGAATTTTTACATAGAATTTGCTAAAAAATTTAAAATTTTGCTGGATACAGATCTGAAAATAATTTTGTTCGGAATTAAAATTGATTGTTAAAACATCAAAATTTTTACAGTATTATTATCAAAATAACGATGTTGAAAATTTAAAAAATGATGAGTAATTCTGTAAAAAATATTGATTTTCTAGCAATCAATTTAAGTTTCTAACAAAATTATTTTTAAATCTCTATTCAGTAAAATTTTAAATATTTTAGAAATATATTTCCCCACCAAATTCCATTTATGAATGTGATCTTGCCAGTTACAGCTGATAAAATATTGTAACATTTTGATATTACAACAATTTAAGTTTTTAATAAAATTATTTTTAGGTCTATATCCAGCAAAAAATTTTATATCTTTCAGTAAAATTATTCTTTTGACAAATTATTCTTTCTGTACCATAATTGTTAATCTTCATGATCGCAACTTTTATTGAAGCTTTTCTTTATATGTATAAAAGATAAATCGCGTGCCATATATAGTCGCGTTTGCTTTATAATTCGAAATGAACTGAGCGTGACGATAAACTTTTATATATAATACACAAAACACAAATACACATTACTCAATTACAGACTATTTACAATATTTTTAAAATACACGCCGATTATTTCGTTTGGTAGCTGTTAGAAAACCAGAATATCAATGAAAACAGTACATTTTTAAACAATTTCGTAAATTTTTAAAATGTTTTTTTCATAATTTCTTCCTTGTTTTTAAGTTTTGATATGTACTATGTACTTTATTTATTAATTATACTTATACATAATCTATTAATCTACGTTATAGAATTCTTTAGAAAAGTTTTGTGTGTTCCAATAATTATTCTATTATTTGCACAAAACGACATTCTTTTTAACGTCGATTATTCTTAACTCATGCCGCATATATTTGTATTATTGTTAGAACGATCAACTCTATTATTTTATGAATTTTCGCAAAGCCACTTACGAAATTTCGTCAATTATTCATCATTTATCATTGCTACTTTTTTGCCATTTATTTTAGAAATCTGCATTTAAACAATGCAACAGCAACACAAATGTCTATCTGAAAGAAAAAGGAACATAATAAATTTTCAGATCGTTATTCTCCTCTGCAACTACTATAGAAGCTTCATTAACAAACTATTCTCTGTATTTTCCAATTCACTGGAATCGGATTCCAATTCATTTTCTAATCACTCCGTTATATTATTGAAAGAGATTAAGTTTTTCATTTATCACTAAAGTATTATACCTTAAGCTAAGAAAGATTTACGTGACGAGGCACTATAAAGCAAAACAACATAATATATCTGTAAATATTTATATTAGAAAAAATTAGTTTTAATTAATTAGCTTGATTAATAATCAAAAATAAAATTTAATTACTTAATATAGAAATCCTTAATTACATAAAATTAGTGAACGTAATTCAAAAGAATCATAGATAAATGAATCGCGCGTTATTTAGAATAATTTAATGATAAAAAATTATTAAATTTTAAAAAATCGTAAATGAATCGTAAAAAATATTAATTTCAATTTCTCGTTAAAAGCTTCGCGTCTTGCAGTAGCGAAGAAATCCTACCGTTTAAATAAATCGTCCGAGTACGGAATGTAAATGAGAGGATACCTGATGTACATAAAATAGTAATGAATTGAGATTATCATAAAGATTATCAACGAACACGAGAGATCTAAGTCTAAGGCAACAGGTGAAAAATTAACGGGATCACTACGCGTAATATAAATCAATCCGTTCATTTTTCCTTCAAGGTCGCTGTGGGAACGAGTTCCTGACAGGATGGAGTCTACCTGAGGAGGAGATTCTACATCGGTCTGCGCGTTTATATATCGGTTCACACGTTCCATCCGAATTGTGCACTTCGTCTGTCACATCGATCTTTCGAAGATCGCACTATGTCCAATAAGTACAACGTTAACGAAGAATATAACATGGAGAATCGTAGAGAGGTCACGTTAACCGGTTTCAGCAGTAACGCGATCGATGATGTTCTTCGTAGCAACAACAACGAGCCCAATACGTTAAATGGCAATCCAAGCAGTGCTCATGCCATCACCAAAGACGCGAAGATTGTTAATCTCGAAGGTGAGTCGCTATTACTGAATCTTATTAATTAGGCTGTATACCTTTCTAAAAGAATTTTATATCTTGTAAGAATATTTAAAAAATAAAATTTCATGTTGAAATGTTAAATTAAAAGATGAGATGACCGGTCTCTTCGTATTTTTCTACAGAATAGACAAGAGACATGGTGCAGTAATATTCCAGGCTTTTATCTATAATTATAAATTGAAGAAAATTTGAACTCATCAATGACTCGCGCGAATATATGCCGGTGCAATGTGTTCAATGTATACGATAGTCACAATACTGGATGAGAAAATAATTGGCGTGTGATTCAATGCGCGATATCAATCATGTCGCGCGCGCGACGGAGATGCAGGACGGCGCGGAAACATCGAACAAAAATTTGCAAAAATATATGCACCGTACACCGACCTTCACTTTCACGGTTGAACAGTCGTTTTTTTAAATAGCGTTTTATAATATTCGCAATCGCGCGAAAAATTGTTTCAAGGCACGTTGCCTTCGTTTGCATCGCGCATGTGCATTTATGCACGCATATAGCGTATTGATTCTCTCGTTGCAAATTATTCTTTTTTCTTAAATAGAAACATCTCAATATTTTCATTTTTATGGCTATTATGGATTTATATGATATAAATTATTATAAACTACTTGCAATGAACTCTATAAACTACTATTATAAATTTTTCTTTCTCGAATGCTGAATGCATTTGCGACAATTTGACAAATACGTTTGCAATGAAACACTTAAATGTAATTAATTTATAATAAGAGATTATTCCCTTAAAAAAAGATATTTTAATATACTGATTAACTATTCAGTAACTGATGATATTTCAAAAAATCAATATATTGAATTAATCAATATATTGTAACACTTTTTCCTAAGGAATAAATAGAAGATATAAATATGGACAGTTTTAAAGTATTTAAAAATTTATAACTATAGATCTGAAAATAATTTTTTCTTGGATCATTAAAACAATTATCTAAGGCCGGTATTCATATAGTCGAAGATTTTATATCTCAAACTGTCTCAAGTACAGTTTTAAGATGTCGTAAGCTATATTTAGAGAGCAGTATTAGCATCTTTATATTACTTAAGACTTGAAATCTGGAGATATTGTATAGTATTTCGGCGTAGGTTAAGGTACTCGTAGCGACACTGCCGTGGCAATATTTTATAAGAATTGACTACCGACCTGAACTGAATACCGATCTAAGATGTTTAAGCATAATAATACTACTGCAAAAAGTTTTGACATTCTAGCAACCAACTTAAGTGTTCTATATAATTATTTTGTTGTTCTAACACTGAAAAAAGAGTCCAGTCACATTAATTGAAGTTCTGGTTGAAAATGAATAAATCAGAATTTTCTGGTTGAATCTAATATAATTTTAGTTGATATAAAAAAATTTTGATTGATATGATCAGAATCTGCTAATTTGTTCGTTTTTAACTAGAAATTTTTTTCTTTAAACAAAATTATTTTTAAATTTGTATCTAGTTAAATTTTTTAATATTTCAGTAAAACCGTCCTTTTGGTGTACGCCGAGAGAATAGAACACTGCATATATAAGAATTTACCCAAGTACCCATACTTCTTGCATGTTGTCGCTTATAATTTCAGTGTCAGCACACAATGATTAATGCGCAAAAAGATAAATATTTCAAAACACAACCATTTTATAAGAAGTAACGTTCGTATTGCAGTAAAGTCTGCAAATGTAATAATCGACGCTGTTACGTCAACTCTTTTTAAAGCTTAAGTATTTCGATCAACGTACAAAACAATTTGCTTTTACATCTCAGTTGCGAGCATATCGTGCTCTAAATAAATCATTATCTTCTATTCCCTCTCGCACAGATCGCTATCGACGTCAGTATTTACTTCACAAGAGTTACAAGTACTTTATCCATGCGATTGTTCGAGATATTCAAACTACAAAAAACCACAAAAATTCTGATACCGATATTATCCGCGAGCAGTCGAAGGTGTAAAATGCAAAACAGCTCATCTGTCCACTTTCTGATAGTCTCATAATAATGGAAAAGATAATAATAATAAACTTTAATTGAATTTAAATACACAAAAATCAAATATGCTACAAAATTTAATTCTGCCATTGTTACGTTTCGATTAA